GACAGGCAGCTGCAGCTGCTGTGTGGTTGTGTCAGAGTGACTGCCGTGCCCTGAAGAGTGTCTCACAGCCTTCCAGCTCTTGGGTTCTCTCTGCTCTGTCTGACGTAGTGTGTCCTGTGCCTTGGCTCAGAGTGGCAGGAATTGAGGGTTGGGTGCTCAGTTAGAACTCCTTTTACGTGTCTCCACACTGTTTCTGCTCTGGAAGACAATTGCGTTACACACTCGTGTGTATGCCTTCCATATGGTATATTGACATTAGCCTGTTAGATACAGTTAATGCCCTACTTTCTGAGGACTCACCGTTTTTCTTTTTCTTTTCTGTCCTTCAGATTGTGTCTCTAACATCATTCTTTGTAATTTTCATTTCCATCTCAGTGATTTTGCTTCTTTATGCTAGAATTTCTATCTTTGGTTTTTCTTTTCTTTTTCTTTCTTTTAATGAACAACTCTAAACAGACCTTTAAAGGGTGGGGTGGGCTAAGGGCTGAAAAGCTGAATTGTCTGCCACAGGACTGTTGTACTTAGAGAGCTCAGGAGGTGGTCTGAGACCGCTGCTGGCAGTAGCCACCATGGTGCATGTAGCATCTGTGTTTGCAGTAACCATCTGGTCCTGGAAGTTGCCACCATAGGTCCCCTGTTTGTGTTCAGGTACCCGCTCGTTATTCTCCACCAGGCTGCTGAGCTGCTCCACCAGCTGCAGGGCCAGGTCTTGCTGGGCAGTGGGCTCAGTGTGATGCATCATCACTGTCTATGTGGACTGGTCCAGGGAGGCCATCACTCCTTGTCAGTGATAATCTCGCTGATGATAAGAGTGCACTGGGGGCAGATCCAGCTCTAACATCTCTGACATCAGTGTCTCTGTGCTGATTGAGTCATAGACATTGATGTAGCTAAAGAGGTAGGTCCACAGCGACAGGTTTGCAGCAGCTCTTCCTGGGTCTTCTTAACTAGCGTGGTGTGAACTCTGTCAGCCTCAGGGAAAAGTCCCATACTTTGCCATTCATCTTCTCATTAATGATGAAATTGTACCAGGTCTTCCAGTTACCCATCTTCATAGCCTTGGAGACAGCAACCACATGTTCTGTCATTGACTTGGGAGAACCCAGCATGGGTTGCTGTTCCCCCACCTGCAGTTGGTGGTGGAACTGCTTGCTGATGGTGTGTCGGCAGGCATCAGTCTTGTGGGCAGCCATGTAGGGATCTCCAAGAACATTGCGGACACCAGATCTGACACACTTCCAGCAGTTCCAGGTTGGCGTGCAGGTGGAAGGGCACCTGGGGCAGCACTGTACCTTCTGCGCCTGCTTGCACTCCTGCAGGCTACATAGCAGCAGACCGTTGCCCAGAAGCTCCTGTGCAACTACTTGACTGGATGTGCAGAAGAGCATCGTGTGCGTCCTTGGTTGGGCCTTGGCAGAAGGCACAGATGCCAAACTGCACCATGGTGCAGTTGTACAGGATCTGTGCTCTGTGCTGGTGTGTCTGCATGCTGAATGTGTCTTGTAGGTGGCTCATGAGCTTGAGGTCCTGGGCCTGGTACCAGTGGGAGTGGAGAGCATGATGTGGCAGAGAATGGCACGTGTGGATCTGGTCTGCATGGTCCTTGGCATACAAGTACACTTGTAGCAGTCTTTCTATCAGCACAGCTGAGTCCTCATTTTCTGTTTGGTCTTGTTCAGACTTTGAGGAGCGTTCAGGAGGGGTAAGCTGCCACTGGTGGGCCCTGTAGTTGAACTTGTAATAGGTGTGGTTGCAGGATGTGCCTCAGGTAGATCTGGCAGATCTCCTCCAGGTAGTGCTGTACACGCTTGATGATGGCACATACCTGTGCCTCATCCTTCGGGTACTCCATGTAGTCTTGGGAGTGAGGATCAGTATTCTGAAGTATTTTGGTAGATTGTTCATCCATTTACTCCTCTAGAGTTGGGGTACACCCACCTACGTGCAGTGACTGGTCAGAACTTTGCAAGTTCCCACTCTCTTCCAGAATATTATCTCCAAGAAAGATGTTGGGATTTTTGACCAAGATGTCCATCAATCAGTTCATTGATGCAGTCCAGGAACATCTGCCACATCCCTGGTTGATGCATGCAGCCAGGTTAGGGCTGCAGTCCTAGAGAGAGGCAATGATCTTGACAATAACGCCCTCCCCCAGGTTGTGTTTGGCAGCAGTCCGAACCACCAGCAGTAGTAGTTCAGTGTGGATGGCACGGTGTGTTCCCTTCCTGTCTGTAGGATCTCTTTCATTTTCTTGGTGATCTCAGTTCCCTTGGCAAACATTTCTGGCTTCTCCTTAACAAGTGACATGCCATCACAGACCCTCTCCTCTCCTGCTGTCCTTGTCCTCTCCCTCACCAGGTGCCTTGATCTCCCAGCTGCTGCTTGGTTTTGCCCTCCCATTTCTTCTCAGCTGCTTTCTCAGCCTCCTCTTTGCGGGCTCCTCTGGGTGGGCTCCTCTGGGTGGGCTCCTCCGTGGTGGGCTCCTCCGTGGCAGGCTCCTCCATGTGGGCTCCTCCGTGGTGGGCTCCTCCGTGGTGGGCTCCTCCGTGTGGGCTCCTCCGTGGTGGGCTCCTCCGTTGTGGGCTCCTCCGTTGTGGGCTCCTCTGGGTGGGCTCCTCTGTGGCGGGCACCTCCATGGTGGGCTCCTCGGTGTGGGCTCCTCCGTGGTGGGCTCCTCTGGGTGGGCTCCTCTGTGGCGGGCACCTTTTAAGGAACTTTGAGGCCACAACATTTTGTTTTTCTCCTTCATCTTCTGAGTCTGAATCACTTGTGTCCCATTCATCATCATCTTCAGAATCTTCAGCCCTCATCGTCATCTTCCATCTTGAGGACCTTATGACTTTCCTCAGAAAGAACATCTGATTTCTTCATGAAAGCTGCAGCACTGACTCCATCTCCATCTCAAGAGCCTCTGAGTCCTCCTCCTCCTCTGCATCTTCACTGCAGACTGTCCAGGGTTCTGCTTGTAGTCTGTGGTACAGGACTCAACAGTCACGGTTGTACTTTCCGGTCTTGTCTCAAGGCACTCAACCTTGTCATTGTTTTGTTCATCTTCCTCCCTTCCGTGCCTCATTCAGGTAGTCCTCCAGGTCGGCCAGGATGTGGATGTAGAATCAGGGGACACTTTCCTTATCCACAGTATGCTAGCCTTTTCCGTATGCTTTTCCCAGAAGCGCAGTCTTCTAGACATTGGTGACATCTCGAATCTCCATGGCATTGCAAATGGTCCGAGTCAGGTCGGTAAGCTCCTCAAACCTCATCCTTGGTACTTCGGACAACTCTGTCTGTATCCTCCTCATCCTCACTCAGTAACAGACTGTTTGTTTGCTGTAGTTCTCAGAGACAGGTTTGATGACCAGCTCTTCCCCAGACAGGGACGACTTGGACTCGCTGTCCTAACTGGTGGTGAAGAACCCCAACGTGGTGATGGTGCTCAAGGGCCAGGGCTTGAGGCCAGAACTGGCTGAGCTGCAAGTTACACACTCCTGTCTTGGTTATTTTTATTGGGATTCTTTGAGTCACCACCATCATGTTTTCCTTCCAGTCTCATCCTGCGAGCATAGCTGTCAGTCATCCTGGGAGCACAGCTGATCAGTCATCCTGGGAGCACCGCTGATCAGTCATCCTGGGAGCACAGCTGATCAGTCATCCTGGGAGCATAGCTGATCAGTCATCCTGGGAGCATAGCTGTCAGTCATCCTGGGAGCATAGCTGCCAGTCATCCTGGGAGCATAGCTGTCAGTCATCCTGCGAGCATAGCTGTCAGTCATCCTGCGAGCATAGCTGTCAGTCATCCTGGGAGCACAGTTGTCAGTCATCCTGGGAGCACAGCTGTCACGGTTGCTTTGATGTCTTTGTGTTCTGACCCCTCATCTGGGTCGACTCCATCAGCTCTGTCACTGCTCTTTCCTGATTAGAGGCACATGCTCCTGTCTTCTGTTAGGCATGTCTCCTAATTTTTTGTTGAAAATTTGGCATTTTAGGTTACGTATATAACACCCCCTAAAGTCTGTCGTGCTGTGTTCTAGTTTGTTTCTCCATTGCTGTGACAGAATAATCTGACCAACTTGGGGAGGAAAGGGTTTATTTGGTCACAGTTCATCACTGAGGGAGTCTAAGGGAAGAACTCAGGACAGGAACCTGGAGCACAGGCCATGGACGAATACTGCTTACTGACTTGATCCTCTGACCCATGCTCAACCTGCTTTCCTTTTTAAATTATTTTTATTTTACGTGTATGAGTGTATTGTCTGCATGTATGTGAGTGTACCCGTGTTTGTACAGTGCTGGAGAAGGCAGAAGAGGGCATCGGATTCCCCTGGAACTGGAGTCAAGAATGGTTCGTAGCTGCCATGTGGGTGCTGAGAATCGAACCCGGGTCCTCTGCAAGAGCAGTCAAGAACTGTAACTCCAGCTCTAGGGTGATCTGGTGCCCTCTGCTTGTACCTGAACTCACATAGGTGTATTTACTGCTGAGCCATTTCTGCAGCCCCTCAACCTGCTTTCTTATGCAACACAGGCCCACCTGCCCAGGGTGGTATACCACTCAACAATCAAGAAGATGCCCCACAGACATGGCCACAGGCCAGTCCAATGGAGACAATTCCCCAGTTGAGGCTCCCTCCACCCAAGTGTGCCAAGTTGACAACCGAAGCTGTCCAGCACACGCTCCATTTCTTTGCTTTTAAATGAACTTCAAATTAAAATGTTCTGATTGCAACTATATAAGTTTTGACATTTCAAAATCTACTGTACTTCTAATTCTGAGGACTGTGTAGGTTTAAATATCTATTTAAAGCACCACACTAGTTTCACTGATGTATAAGATGTACAATTAAAGCCTGGCGTGGTGGATGTGATGATACATGTAATCCCAGCTCAGGAGACTGAGGCAGGGTGATTAGAAGTGCAAGCCCAGCCTGAGCTACAGAGCAAACTTTGTCTCAAAAACAAAGCAAGCAACCAGCAAAACCCCCTTGATTTTCTTTTTAAAATTTTAGCTTGTTCTGTCGGTTGAAACCTCGAGAGAAGATTACGCCTAAGTGGCATGAGAAGCCCTACGAGTGGAACCAGGTGTGTGGGGACCAGGGGAGCAGCGGCCTGCTGGGGGGCAGGTGGGAGAGCAAAGGGAGAATAACTGGGTGGGCACAGGCTTAGGCTCAGGGCCACAAGGGTGACAGGAGTAGGAGCTACAGACAGAGTGGGTGGTAGTGGAGCAGATGGCGGCTGTGAGTGGCATCCTCTGTGTAGAGCCTGCTCCAGAGGCAGACCCCAGGCAGGACTCCTGGTCTGGAAAGGAGAAGGTGTGAGTTGGGGGGACACGAGCTTTTAGTGGAGGTGAGGACTGCCTGGCCATTCTCTTAGGTAGGACTGGACTTGTGAGATGACATGCTGACAGGGTTGGGTCTGGTGAGGGCTTACAGATGGTGGCTTCGTACTGTCCTTGCATGGCATAGAGCACCACGAGCTCTCTGGTGCCTCACCAGGGCACTAACCTAGTATGCCCCCTCCCCTGGCCTAGTCACTCTAGAGACCCCTCCTCCTGATCCTCTTACACTGCAGCCCAGCACTTCACCTCAGTTGTGCAGCAGGATGTGGTTCATCTTCATCCTTTCAACATGTCTTCTCTGAGAGGCTTAGAAATTAGGCGGTTGTTCGGGGTAAGGAACAGAGGAAGGCATTTTAAGCTTTAGCTCTAGGACCGGTGATGTCTTCGTGAGTCAGCCAGCTGGGCAGTCCTTCCTTGTCCTTTGGTCATACTGTGTTACTCAGGATGTTGCATTTGCACCCGAGTCCAAGGTTCTCCCACTGCGCTACACCCACCTCTCCATGTGCCCCCAGTGGCTTCTCTTTGTGGCTCCCCCGGGGCTATCACTGGAGCAGCTGTCACTGCAGAGCTCTGTCTGCGAGACGTGAGCAGGACCTGTGAAGCTGGCACAAGTGGGAAGTAGTTTGAACTCAGTTTTATTTTAAAGTTGGTGTGCTTTAGAAAACCTTGTGTTGAGGGGCTGGAGAGATGGCTCAGCAGTTAAGAACACTGGCTGTTCTTGCAGAAGACCCAGGTTCGAATCCCAGCACCCACATGGCAGCTGACAACTGTCCGTAACTCCAGTTCCAGGGGATCCAACAGCCTCTTCTGACCTCCTCGGGCATTGCATGACAGGGACAGTTTTATTTTAAAGTTGGTGTGCTTTAGAAAACCTTGTGTTGAGGGGCTGGAGAGATGGCTCAGCAGTTAAGAACACTGGCTGTTCTTGCAGAAGACCCAGGTTCGAATCCCAGCACCCACATGGCAGCTGACAACTGTCCGTAACT